CTTTACCCGTAACCGTTATCTACATTAATAACTCTATAAGTTTTGATGATCTGGCAATGATATTTTAGTCTTTTTATCACAAGTGATGATGTGTCATGTAAATGCCCCACATTTTTTTGTTTAAATTGAATTAAATATAAAATAATGTAATTACTTATTTAATTATAAATATATAAAAAATTGTAATAAATTAACAAAACAAATGAAAACAAAAGAATAAAAGATTAAAAAAACAAAACAACATAACTAAAAAATAAATAAAATAAAAAATTAAGCAAACAGGGTAGCTTCACCCTTTGTCCAGCAACCACCATCTTCCTTATTGCACCACCCACACCAGCACACCCCACCAACCCAGCCACCAAACCATCACCTAGCCAACCACACTCTTCTCCCCCACAATCATCCAAGCCCCGAGCCACAACGCACCAACCCAGCCACCAAACCATCACCCAAGCCATCCACACTCCCACGACCCCCAATCATTTGAAGCCAACACCATACACCTAGTTGCCCCCTGAACTTCCTCCCAATAGCCACCCTACCCCAAATCCCCACCCCAACGGAGAGAGAACCTCTGCCATTAAAAAAGTTTTAAATTTTTTAGTTAGTCAATTCCCCTAATTCCTCTATAAAGGAATCACACCAGTTGCAATCGATGCCAAATTCATGGTCATAATCTTAGGGGATTGGGTGGGTATGGCCGGTATAGGGTGTGGGTGGGTATGGTTGTTGGTGGGTTTGGATGGTTATGGATGATGGTGTGGTGGTTTGTTGCAGAGAGAGAAGAAAGGAGAAAGGATGAGGCCATTTTTTGGGAGGATATGGATCTTTGGCCAGAGTTGGATTTGGGTAAGTTTTATTTTTTTCTTTGTAATATTTTTTTTATTTTATTTTCAAAGATTAGAGAAGCAATATTTTTAATTTTTAATTTTCTCTTTTTTTAATATAATTTTTTAATTAAATAAGTAATTACATTTGATAAAAAGACTAAAATAGTCATGCCACGTCATCAAAACTAATAGAGTTATTAATGGAGATAACAGTAGGGGTAAAGTGGAACATGAAATCATAGTCAAGGAGGTTAAGTGGGTCACTTTAACTTTTGGGGGAGTAAAATGAAATTTTGACCGAAGTTTCAGGGGGCATTATAGTAATTAAGCCTTAAATGCATACGAATATTTTAACAGTATAGCCACGCTGCTTTACTTGTTAAATATTAACATATTTTCAAAGTACAGCCGCACTGCCATAATTGTTAAATATTAATGTATTTTAACAGTACAGCCGCGCGGCTATATTCTTTAAATATTAATATCATTTTGTTTTCATCATGAATTAGGTTATCCTATGTGAGGCAGAGTTGAAAAACGAAAAAAAGAAGGTAAGAAATGTAAAATACATAGAAAAAAAAATGTATCTTGTATCTTCTGATGAGCAAGAGAAAAAAAATACATTTTGGTGGATTGTGTTTTATGAATTTGTAAAAGAGTTATGATTCAGATAAAGGTTTTATTTCTTCCCATTATAACAATAAGAAATTTAATATAGAGAAAAATTCATGTTCTCTCTTTTGGTAAGTAAGCGAAAAATGCATCTTGTTGGATTGCGTTGTATGGATTGGTAAAGGAATGAGTTAAAAGGGTTAGAAATTAGGAGTGTACATTGGTTTGAAACCAATGAATTTTGATCAATCTAATCCAATCCAATTTTTTATTGGATTTGGGATTTTACAATCCCATCTAATGTGTTCGGATGTTAGGATGCAATCCAATCAAATCCAATGTACACATTGGATTCGATTGGATTGGATGATCAGTTTGTATGAAGATATGATAATCACAAAGATAATCATATAAAATTCAATCAGATAGAAAATGCCATTAAGTATGTATTAAATAGGCACAAACAAATTTTATAAAAAAACAATACAACACAAAGTTCGACATTTAGAGTTCAAGTTACATCCATTCCTTCAAAAAATAAACACTAAACTAAAGTCAACATAAAAACTTAAACAACTCTTCAAGGTTCCAAGTCCAACAATTCTGTAATTTATTTCGTATGCTTATGTTATATCATGCAATCAACAAACATGTATATATACTTAATACTCTTAACTTAAGAGAGTTGAGATATAATGAATGTCAAGATAACAATATTAGATAGAATGAATGAAACAAACTTATGTACAGAGCATGCAACCATATTCCACATCAAGTTTCATTCAAAGTAAGTTTTGTTGTAGTACCCAAAATTTCTACAAACAAAAATAGTACTAATTAATTTCAACTATGAAACTTATCTTCAAATAATATTTACCAGATTCAATTTCTTCAATTTCATCTACAATCTCAAGAACATCACTTTTTGGTGAAGAACATAACCAATTTTGAGTGCAAATGAGTACCTCCACTGTTCTTGGGGATAATGAACTCCAAAAAGGATCTAGAATGTGACTACCAGTACTAAATGTTGATTCAGATGCCATAGTAGAGACAGGTATTGCCAACACATCTCGTGCAATATAAGACAAAATCTTATATATTTTTTAGAATTCATCTTCCACCAACTCAGGAGGTCAAAGTTCTCATTTTTTGGATTCTCACATGTTTCAATTAAATACCTATCAACTTCTGTTTTGGACTCTTCACTATCAGTTTTCTCCACAAGTTTCATGAATCCAGTTGTGAAAGCAGTAGCAAAATCTACTTCATTACTATCAATCTCCATCTCACTTGGATTATGAGTCTCATCCTTATGTGCAACATTATCTTGGTAAAGCAATTTATATCGATCATACAATTCATTCAAATTACTTCTCACTTTACTTGTCATCTCACTAGCTTTATCTTCACCACATAACAAAGAAAAACAATACTGCAAATAACGTTCCTTGTAATGAGGATCAAGTAAAACAACAACAAACAAATACATGTTAATTTTTTGGTAGCTTCCCCAATATATTTCATACTTCTTCAGCATATTCTCAGCCATAATCTTAAGAAAAACATCTTTATTATGACTCCAACTTTGCAATTGCGCATGAACCATACATAGTTGTTTCAGAAACAGATTTGAGGTTACATACAAAGTACCATAAAATACTAGAGTTGCATCATAAAAGACTTTCAAAAACTTAATAAAGTGGTGGGCATTATTCCAATCCAATGAGGTGGGAGCCCTTTTCCTTTCATCCACACAAAACTCACGAACATATAGTGTATCTTGTTCCTCTAAGCATTCAAAAGCTTTTTGATATTTTTCTGCAACTTCTAACATTAAATAAGTAGAATTCCACCTTGTCGAAACATCTTAACATATAGCTTTATGTGAAGAAATTTTCACTCGCTCCACACAAGCCTAGGTTCAAAAACACGTAACATATCCCTAAAACCCTCACCCTCATTTCTCTGGACTATAACTTGTAGCAATCAGTTTGTCTTCCTCCTTGCTTTCCTTTGGTTGGAAAGACAAAGTTTTTTGCTTCTTGATATCTCGACCTAGATATTCTTAACATTGATTTGCCAAATGACTCAAAAAAGTTTGATGCCCCATTTCTTTTGCTACCACATGCCTATACTTTGTTGCAATATTTACATTTTGCCTTGGGATTTTTTTGGATCATCTTGCATTTTAATAAAGTGCTCCCAAACAATTGAAAGAGGTCTAGCAATTTTTTTCTTACCTTCTTCTATGGGAGTAGAATCATTGACTTTGGTTTCTTGTGGCAATGCTTCAGCATTTGAAGGCTTGACAGTATCGGGCCCATTAGAAATTAAAGGTGTATAAGTTGGTGGGTGACTTGTATTTCCAATTGGATTTTCATTGGAAGTTGAAGTTGGAGTAGTCACCTGTTTCATAAATACTCCACCAATATTTTCATGCTTGAGAAGATGCAAAATGAATAATTGAATCATTGAGTTCTTGAATCCAAAATAATGAAAACTTACCAAGCAAGAAGATGCAGATGAAGCCATGGTGTTAGGTTATGAAATGTGAAAGTGAAACTAAAAGTTTGAACTCCAGAACGTGAAAGGTCTTTTCTTTTTTTGGAACGTGAAAGCTGCAACATTAGAGGTGTTTTATTTGTACTAGAATTGGAACTGGAACGTCAAAGGTCACTAAATTGAAAAGTCTCAGCATTTAAATTTTAAAACTAGGGTTTTGGATTTGCACATAGAAATCTAGAATTGTTATGCTATATTAATATAGTTTTTCAAAAGAATATCAACAAAGTTGTGTTGGTGTGTTGGTTTTTAAATATGTTGTACTTGGTTCTAGTTCAAATACTAGGAAATGCAAATATTTGCATATATTTTTTAAAAGGTTGGATCGGTTCAGTTTGTATTAGATTTCAAATTCTGGATTCGCTAACCAAATCAATCTAATCGATTTTTTATTTTTTGAATCCAATCCAATCCGCCAATATTATCGAAACCAATAAAATTGGATTGAATTGGTCGGTTTTGATAGATTGATTTGGATCCTGTACAGCCTTATAGATTACATACCTTATGGAGAAAATGACAAGGAATTTAAAGGAGGCACATTTTTAGAATTTCAATGGTTTACATTATATTCGTTGACAGCCCAAAATAATACCAAATTCAGGTGCCAATTTAACATTTTTGTTCAAGCCACCAACTTCCCAAAATAACATTATAATTTTTATTCAAGCCACCAACTTGCCAAATTAACATTTTTGTTCAAGCCACCAACTTCCCAAAATAATATTATAATTTTTGTTTTAATCTTTTGTTTTATTTACTTTTAGATTATATAACAAAATTGAAACAACCAAAACATTAAAAAGATAATCCAACATTAGTGAGAAAAATCAGCTGAACTCATGACATTTGGAAATGTTTTCATGAAATGGCAGTCATGCAAGCAATAAGACTATTTGTTCATTAATCATGTTTAGATTTTCTCAACCAATAATAATAAAGAAAATTAAAAATTAAAAATTAAAATTACCTTAAGCAAATATTATCCTAATCGGGAGGGCCCACTTGTAGAGAAAAAATAGGGGAAGTTCTGTGCACCTACCGGCGCCATTAACAGGTAACGGCAAAACATGGCAGGTTTGGTTGTTGCCTGGACGCCAAATATGCCATGCTTGCCTATCCTCCTCAGGAAGGATCAAAATTCAGAACTCTGATCCCCTGCGGACGCGCCCCACTACACCCGCGCCCATCAGGAAACATCAGACCCAATCAGATTGCAAAAGCTCACAATCAATCGTTGCCAAAACCCTAAACTCCCTTTTGACTCTGGTGCGAGCGACGGCAGGCCACAATTCCTCCTCGTATCGTCTTCGTTGTCACTGAAATGGCTCTGACTCACACTCGCTCACTCGTATATATACTGGATGTCCTTATCTTTCAACACTTTCTCTGCCTCTCTCTCTCGTTTGCTCTCGTTTGTTCTCTCTGTTCTCTCTTTCTCGTTTGCTCTCTCTGTTTCTCTCTGTCTCATTTGCTCTCTCTCTCTTACTCTTTGTGTTGCTTCAATGGCTTCCGAGCACTGCTTCTTCTGCAAGGCTGAGATTGCTGAGTTCATTACTGGCTGGCCGCTGAAAGATGGCTCTTTCGCTAAGCTCTGCGGGAAATGCGGGTAAGCCAATTTTCCTTTTACATTTTTGTTTCTCTGAAGGATTTGTCTTCTTTTCTTTTTTTTTGGCTGGTATGTGACATGTTTGCATGCTCTATTTGATTTAAATTAGAGTGCTTTTTTTTTTCCTTCCTTTTTGAAGAGAAAAGGTATGGCTTGGATTGTTTTGCTGGTATATATATTGCTCTTTGCTCTTTGGGACTGAATTGAAAGTGTTTCTATGTGTGTTTTTCTGTGATGTAGGTGGTCCAGGTTGATAATGATTTAATGCCCTTTTGGAATGTCAAGTGTCATGATTTTCTTTGCTTTTGATTTCTAAAATTTGTTGATTTTTTGTGGTGATTCTGGGTTATTGATTCTAATCGATTGACTTAAAACAGCTAATGTTATCCGTTAAGATTTTCGGTTCAGCCTTGGTGGATATGACTTCACTCCCTTTAGCATAAAACAGAAGGGACTAGGTTGAAATCGTGACATTTTTTCCTTGTGGGTCTATCCCTGTTGAGGGAGCTCACACTAGCATGGGATAAGGTTAATGGGAATATAACATAACAAAACACTACAGGGGATATGCTCCTGCATGCAATGACTGTATTTTCTAGTAGCAATATTATTATTAAAAGTTTTACTTTAATATATGGTGCTAGTTACTACTAGGATGTTGATGGGTTGATTGAAGGAACATATAAATGGCTATTGATTGGGTAATGTATTTTCTTCGTCAACATTTTGGTTTGAATGTTGTGTGGGCTTTTCTAGACTCAAATTTGATTAAGTGAACTCTTCTATTATTTAAGCTGGGCCTTTAGTGATCCTGAGAAAATGAATTGGTGCATAAAACGGGCATTCATACCCTGTCTTAAGGTTACATATGAAAATTTGGATTCGAATAAAGAGATTCATTACTTTATGCAATAACTGTCCTGTGAAGCAAACCAAAATTTGAATTTCGGTTGATGCATGGATTTAGCAAGTCGAAGTTGTTTATCAGCCAATTTTGCAGATGTTGCATTAGTATTCATTGGAAAAGGAGCAGAACTTGGGTTTTGTTTGCCTCAACATATGGAAGAAGTGAGCAAGATCATGTAAATCTGATGGGACTTAATGCTGTAAATGTTCATGCCAGTTTTATTTCATTGTCTCTTAGGTAGCGTTGGTCTTGCAGATTTGGCACTTGGGAATGTGTATGTGATTTATTTTCCATATTTGGCAAGTTCCAACATGGGAAAGGAAGTGGTGTAGATCAGTAGTGATTTGATGCAGGAGCATCTACAAGGCTCTCCAAGAGTATGCGGACACCCTAGCAAATTAGGACAGGGTTCTAGCTATTTGGGAATTTTAGTTTTTTTTTTTTTGGTCATGTTTTTCTTTCATGTTTATTCCTGTTAGGATTAGGATTTATTAAGTAGTCTTAGTAGGAATAGATTTGTTAGGTAAGAACTAGTAGGATTTGGTTTCCTTAATAAACAAGGAATAGGAATGCTAGACTGCTTTACTCTAGTATAAATAGGCTCTTAAGAGACTTTTGCATTCAGTTTGTTATGAATATTATCCCATAATTCGATTTATAGAGTTTCTTTTGGGATTCTTGCCCTAGAACTCAATTATCTTCATTCCAACTTCAATTCTATGGCTTAATCTCTCTATTTTCTTTTTCTTTTTTTAAATCTGTTTCTACTGTGTTTTGGCCTTATTCTACCTGCTAGACAGCAACTTATTGTTACTGCCACGCACCAGGAAGGGTTGGGTTTCCGATACCCATGGGTATCCAAGACCCCCAAAATAGGTGCTTTGCTTTCCCAAATGATGAGGTGGGCTACCCATCCCTATTCGTTAGGTTTGATTTAAAATAAATGATAATGAACCTAAACCCTTAAATTTATGCTTTCAAAAAATAATATACCATTGGGTCTCTAAGAAATCCTTCAAATGGGAATGGGTAAGGGTTCCTAGGATCCCATCCCATGAAGGATCCCATCGCATGAAACAAGTGCTCCTTAGATTTTTGGATATAAGGAAGACATGAATCTTGAAACCTTGGAATTGTTGGTGTTTCTATATAAATTATTGGGACTCTCCTTGCAAGTTACAACTACTAGCTTCAAGGCTTTTACGTGTTCGTTGGAAGGCAGCTAGCTCCAAGGCTTAACATTAAGGCTTAGAAAGCTTACATACAAGACGATGACTTACTACAAGGGATATTCTCTAGAATGTTGCTACTTGCATGTGTTGTTTTTCGGGTACAAGTTCTTTTGTTGAAGGTTGCTCGAGCTTTTCCTAGTAGTATGGCATGCTTTACTTCATAGCCTGTGGACGCTTTTCAAGAAGTTTCATTTTCCTTCCCCGTCAACATAGCAAAGGACTTTTTCTAGAAAGCACCTCTGTCATTCATCAGAAGATCAATTCCCCTTTGTGCACCCCAAAATAATAATAAATGTGGATGCTTTTGTAAAGAAGATTATGGGATGTCTCTCTTCAAACATTTTGATTAATCTATATTTTCCTAATTTGTCACTCTAATAAATTCCATAAATTAGGGTGTCTTTTATTGCTCCAATATGATCTCCTTAAGTTGTAAAAGGATTAAAGGTGATGTGCATGACTCACTAGTAATGACTAACGATGAAGAACTATGTAGTAGTTACTACCTTTTTGGTAAACTTTTTCCTAATGCTTCACAACTTACTTTTATTGTTGTTTGTTCATCGTGGTTAACTTTTAGAAAGTCATTATTATGACCTAAAGAACGTGTTTCTTTTCCTTGCCTTTACTTGTATCTACACTAGTAAAGCCAAGTGAAGATAGTTTGATGATCAACTTGAACATTTCTCAAAATCCAAGGATACTAATATTTGGTATGGTCATGACTATAAAATTCATGACATACTATGTAAAAAATGTCGCTTTTTTGAAATATAAATGGTGTCTTTGTCCATCATCATTTGCACAAATTAATTCAACAAAGAAACTCCACGCGCTTTGTTTTTGAAAATGTGATTTGTGTGCAAAATTTCAAAATAGTTTGATGGTAGATCTTTCTTAGAATAAAGGTCTTGCTAGAATCCTTCCACTACCTAAATAACAATGCCTCATTTGATAATGAATTTGAGGACTCCTCCTTTGTACGCGGTTGTTCTGAGCTTCAAGTATGAATCTCATGGAGAATTCAGTCCTAGCTCACGGTATCTAATGCCATTTGATCCTCTAGTTCTTGTCTCCCAATGTCAATGTTGGTCCAACATCGATCCTCGTCATTGGTGTTCTTTCCAATCTCTACGCATTCACCGCTCCACCAAAAGTTCTCTCTGCCCCTACCGCACTTCATTAGAAAAATATGATCAATTAAACAAGCAACAAAACTACTTGCTCCAAATAACTTCTTCTTGTTGCATCGAAACATACAAATGTTGAATAGTCTGGGGTCGACAATTCTTTTCCCTTCTTCAAACTCAGACTCATATACATATTGGACTTGGAGAAATCTATTACACAATTTATGAAGAAAAACATTGTAGGAGAAAAACAATGTAGTTGACTCATTTGGAAGACACAAGTAAGTGAAAGAATTACTTGCCTTTATATGGGATTATTAAGGTTTAAAATAGGTAACTAGTGTATCTTGCAACGAAAGTTAATGTTTGTTTACTTACCATCTTTTACCATATTTTCATGGGCCAAATATTAATGATAATAATGATGGGGACAAGGGTCTTGATCCCACTAGAGTGTAGTAAATCCGAAGAACACATTCTCAATCTACATTGCTGGGTATAACTTGCTTGCGAAGTCATGGTCACGAGGGTTTGTTGGCATACCACCAGAAATAAGCGTATGTTCCATCCAGAGTCTTCTCTTAAACATAGATAGGTGAGTTCATTATAGAAGAACTTCCTAGAATACAGTCCTAGACATTTGTTTTTGACTTCTACTACATGAAGCCATTCTTGGACAATGTTGGTGGTTTAGGGTTTCCTAATGTTGCAACTTGGGACAATGATGCGGAAAGTGATCCTGATCTTGTAAGAGAAATTTAGGGCAAGTCCACGAGTGGAGGGAGCTAAGGCTCGAGACAGGCAGGTGCCCTTCTCCACCCCTCCCTCAAATTTCCTTTTTTTTTTTTTAAAGAAAAAGATTACATGTATATTTTTCTCAATAAAATATGAAATTGCTCTAAAATTTCCGAGTGTCCCCTTCCCCTCTGTCTTTTCTTTCTCTACCTCTATTCTCTCATGTCTACCTCTTTCAAATCTTTCCCTCTCTTACTTTGAGTCTGATGATGCCTTCTTCTCTCTGGTTACCGCTTGCTCATTGACTCAGAGTTTGAATTTAAACATATACTAGGGTATCAATTTCTTGTAGTGTTTTCATGGACTTTTTAGCTACATATGTTAGCACATATGTAGTTGAATGAAATTTATTATTGTGTAAATTCATGTATTTTTCTTTATTGAATTTGAGTCTAATATAGTTTGTTGGTATGCATAACTATTAGATTTTTAATGTCACAAATTAAAAAACATGAGAGAGAGCACATAATTAGAGATTTATAAATAGTAAAACCTTTAGCTTAAATTGTCAGAATTTTGAATTGTTTGAGGTGCCCCTCTCTTAAAAATTTCCTTGCTCCACCCCTTGAGACGTTCTCAATCAAATTTCAGGCTACAATCCTATGCTTGTGTGAAACCAGCTTCATACATGGTTGGCAGTTAACTAGGTATGGTCTTGAGAGATGTAATTAATCTTTATGTTCATAGGACTAAAAAGAAGAATAATTGTATAAGAAAATAGGAAATCTAAGAGTTACATTAAAGATCCTAGAGAGACTCAAGTGGGTAACGTATTTGGAAATAATATTTTCATTTACCTCTGTATTTATTTACCAATATTTGCACTTTGTTAAGCTAGATGAGAGTAAGTGCCGGAGTTGTGATGTGTGCCTACTCACTTATGTGCGACGTTGACGTAGGTGTAGCTTCATAGTTTAGGATTTTCAATTTTCTGGTTGACATATTGAAGTATCTTGAGACTTCATATTGGATTTGTTACCACCTTTAGGGTAATTCTAAGGTTTCCTTATTTGGATTTGTTCAGCTCCATAAACTGACTTGGGACATTGTCGTTCTGTTAGACAGCATTGAGCACTGAAAAAATTACAGAGAATTAATGTTCATTTTGGTTTTATCCTTCGGTCTCTATTATCTTCAACTTAGCCTCTTGCGATCTTTTGCTTCCTGGGTTTTACACCAGTAAGGATGTCAACAGTTGGGAAAAAAAGTCTTGATCCTACGTAAGCAAGTCATATTCAAAGACACATCCTTAGTCCAAATTAGTGGCAATAAATAGCTTGCATGAGGCTAGAGTCACAAGAATTTCCTTATCAGATAGATAAGGTATAATTAATGGTGTAAAACTGACTTTGTGTTTGTGTTTAGATTTTTTTTTTTTTTTTTTTTTTTGGGGTCTGAGTGTTTAGTTTTCTTAGTGTTATCATTATCTGCTTCTCTAGTTAGGTTTTTTAGATGAATTGTCGCCTTTGAATATTATAACGGTATGCTATCTAGACCAGCCATTTAATTGTTTAATGGGTATGTGGGTTACTTTGATCACATGATCAATATCCTTTCATTGTCATATTTGATATGCATTAACTTGGTTATTCAGTAAGTCTGCAAGTGAAAATTGATACATTGTCGCACTATTCTTCAGAGTTTCTGGTAACTGACTTGATTATTTGCAAATTTAGTTATGCTTATATACATGATCAGTTCTGTGAAACTTTTCATTCCAAGTCTGATGGATGGAGACACTGTGATGGCTGCAAGAAGGTGAGCTGGCAACTTCACCCTTTGTTTGTTTTTGGCTTTTTGGATCTATATTCGGATCAACAAAATTTCTGAACTCCAGATTTTGTTTTAGATACCAAAAATTTTGTTTTATTTACCATTAATTTTAACTAATAATTGGCAGCGACTCCACTGTGGATGCATTATGTCATGCCACACGTACACGGAACTGGACTATGGAGGTGTAGGTTGCAGTAAATGCTTATTGCGAAGTAAAAAATCTATGGAGTCAGGTGAAGTGATAAGTGATGTTTGTGTTTTTATGACTTGTATACCTTATCTGTGGAAATTTGAAAATTAATACGTTCTAAAGCATTTTTATATAAACTCAGATGCCTTGTTTCAATATATGGTTTGTGTGGTGTTTCCCTTGTTAAAAAAGAGTGCTGGAATGCTTGAAGGGACAACATGTGTATCCATCCGCATCCGATGCTCATTTGGAAACTTATGAAATAGCTCAACTACTTTACCTTAGAAGTCTTGAAGTTGGGACTGTGTCATTCTTTTTCTTAATCGTTATAGATTGTTATTTTTAGTATGTTTGGTTTGCTGCATGCTAAAGCCATACATTGTCAACTTTCAAATATATGCATGTGTGTATCTAGATTCTCAGAATTGTGTTTATTAGACACCTCATTCCCATGTTAAGTTTTGCACTTAATGTTTGTGTCCTCAACTATACGCTTGAGTTGAAAATGTCTCCAAGAACTTAAAAGAAAAAAAGAACACACAGTTTTGTCATTTAAACTTAAAGGGGAGAAAGAAAAAAAACAATGGAGTGCAAGAAATGCAGTGAGCTGAAGAAAAATGTCCTTTTCTTTTCCTCAATTTTCATAGGCAAGGAAAGTTGGAGGAGAAATTAAATGAAGAAATCCTGGTTACAAACTTACAGCATAATTGTTTTTGTGGTGAAATTTTTCCCAAACTTGTTTTCTTAGTTTTTCTTTTTAAGTATGTCATTTTCCTAAAAGAAAGACTTAACATAACTTTTCTTAGTGATTTCTTTTCTTCTCTTATCACTTTTAATCTATGTAATTTATCTTCCCTATTCTTCTCCCTCGCCAAAAATAGTTATGGGTTGCAATTCTGTGCTGTTATAGTGGTTATCATTATTGATTCAGAAAAATCACTGGAATGAGGTAGTGATTACTGACTCTAGCCAGTCCTCTACTTTTTCAGCTGCCAATGAAGGGATGTATTTAACAACATTATCTGATTCTGATACCCATTCTGTGGCATCTAGTGAGATAATTGCTGAATGCTGTTCTCCTGGATCATCTAAAGGAAAAGCTTCTGCACATATTGGAGAAAACTCTAATGTGGATTCTAGCGGACATACAGGTTGTGAAGAAGGAGTAGAGAGTGAAACACCACGAGTGGATGCCTCTACTCAAAACCATTTGTATCCTCAAAGTCTGCTTAAGATGACAAGTCATGAGCAGCTCCAGAAAATCTCTGGAAAGTATCCACTAATTTTTTGTGTGTCATAGGTCTTAGAAGTTGAAAGAAGGAATTTGTTATTTTATAATTTTTCATAGTAATAGAAGTGATTTTTTTAATGCATTGAGTTCATTTCAATTGTGATAAAATATAGGCACTGCTTCTATGCTACCCCCCTTTATTTTATATTTTATATTTGTTTTTATGTTTATATTTTTGAATCCGTGAGTCCTTGACCCAATCTGAGATCGAACATTGATGCTATACCTCTGTTTGAGAAGTCATTAACCGCAAGTGATACTTTCCTGAATACAGCACGTCTAGTGATACCAAAGAAATGTGCAGAGGTAAGTCCCAATGCTCATTTAGTATTTGATTAATCTCAGTACATTAACGATAATTGCTCTTCATGGTTTTCCCTATGCTTCAATTTGAAAATGGGAATGGCTGCTGGTGCAATATGAACAGTGGCACCCCAAGTCCAACAAAAGTTTTGAGGGACTTGATTTTTCCTTCAGAAAACTTTTTGAGAAGGGGGTGCCTCATATCATGCCTTTTGAATTGTTATTGCTATGTTGTCCTGTTCCTACTCATCTCATTTGTCATCTTTTTAATCTTGAAAATTTCCTTTGTTATATCGTTTTATACTTGTGAACTGACAAAATATATTTTAGTCTGAGCAATCATTTTGGCTATTGAGTCAATTGACTGCTTTAATCTATAAGGTAAATATTTGTAACCCCAGTCTCAAGCATGATGGTCTTACCTCTTTCTCTCTCACTCTCTCACTCTCTCACTCTCTCTCACACACACACAATCATACACCAACAAACACCCAATTGCGATTTTAAAGTAGAACAGTTGTGTCAAACTATTGATTCTTGTAGCAGAGCCAAATCCTTCCCGGCAAAAAAATAAAGCAGTCACCTTTACATGAGAAGGGATCTTAGGGAGGGGAAATAAAACTATTCTTTATGCATTTGTCTTTTGTTTACTGAATCAGCTAGGTTAATTATTATTATTATTATTATTTTTTTTTCAGAATATATATTTCTGACTCATCTAAACAAGCAGGAAACATCTTTGTCCTTACTCTTGAAGTTTTGTGTGCTGCTCACAATGAAACAGGCCCATTTTCCAAAAATTTCTGAAACACAAGGATTCCCCATCACAATTCAGGATTACACAGGCAGGGACTGGAAGTTTCAATATCGTTGCTGGCAAAATAGTAACAGCAAAAAGATGTATGTATTAGAAGGACTCAAGGATTACATGATCTTAAATCAGTGGCAAGTTGGGGACACAGGTATCATATAACTCAGCTTACAAAGTCTGGACATCCTTTTATTTAATTCATTTAAGTTTTTTTGTTTGTTTTGTTTTTTGTGACAAGTTGTTCTCTATGGTTTGTTGATGATCTCTCTCTCTCTCTCTCTCTCTCTCTCTCTCTCTTAGTTTCATTGTTCAGGAGTTTGATAGTGCCTACTTTTTAGCTAACCTCAAATCCTGATTTGAAGTAGAGCTACACTCAACTAAATGCCTTGACCTTTTTATTACTTTTTCTACCACTGATATCATATGTATGAATTATGTACTCAATGATATTGACGTCAATCCCATTATAAAATAAATAAACACAATTATATTGGCATCAATGATTTAACTATCTTGAATACTTTTTCATTTTTATACAGGGAATTTCCTGAAAGTTTGTGTGAGTTTTAAACATGTTCACTTATGAGCTATATATCCTATGCATCGAAGATGTCCTAATTTTGTGACCAACATGGTGCATTTTTTCAGTGACGTTTCATCGAACAGAACAAGAAGGAAAACTGATTATTGGAACAAAAAAGACGCCAGCTTCTGTTGCTTCTATTCAAGCTCTTAAGGTACTGCATGCTACAATATTCTTTTCATGTGACTACAGCTTTAATGTCCTCTAAAATACGAAACATTTTCTAAGCTACATACTTCGTCTTCTGTCTTAGTGTTTTCATATGATGTCCAATGCAAGAATTTTCAACTCTGAATGATTGAAACTTTTCTCTTCATCTTCGTCTTCCGAGAAACTGATGTAACATATGGATGTGACTGATGTTCCCATGATACTTCTTAGATCCTTAGTTTTTATAGCAGGAGCTACTTAACTGAATTGAATAGCAACAAGTGATATCTTTTCTTCTGACAGGAAAAAATTTGGAAACTACTAGGCTGAAGGGAGACCAGGTAAACAGCTTCTTTTCAAGTAGTCACCTTTCTTTACAAAAGCATATGTTTCTATAATTTCCATGTATAATTTGATTTTGCGATTTTAGTTTTTCATTGAAAATTTTTCCATCTTCCTTAAATCTTAAATCTTAAATCTCTTTTCCAGATACTATACTGATGTTCTAAAACAAGTTCTTATCCTCTCCCAGGACCAAGTGAACCTTGTGCTTTGTTGGATGCTTGAAGGTCTTTATGCTCATTCAGTCAAGAACCTAGTGTGTCAGTGTCACGGAGACCTTCCTTCTCTCTTAGGCTTATCAAACTCTCTGAGCTTACAAAGCCAAAAAGAAGTAATTTTCTTCATTGTTCCCATAACAATATTTCAATACTCTACGGTTTTTTTTTTTTTTCAAATTTTTTTTTTCTGATAAGGGTAATTTGAAAAGATAGGGTCAGAAAAGAGAGGATTTCTCTAAGAGTTCCAGCAATATATACTTGTGATTGTTTCAGGATAAAATATTGGCTAAACAATGCAAATGCAATCTTTACCAAAACAAAAAAAGAAGCAAGAAAATTGGGAACTTGTGTGCTTCATAATGCTCTTAAGGACAATGATGCATTACTCTAAGAGAATCAAGTCTTTTGTACGAGAACCTTGATGTTATGGAGTAACCTTTTACTAAGGATGTCCGTGGTCAAGGTTAGGTCAGTAACAAATATTTCTGATGAATTTTGGAACTACCCCAGTTCAAAAATTGTTTACTAGGTCAAACTAAACAAGTCTTGCTCATTTGATTGATCTATGGATATGTTTTTTTTTATTTTAATCCTTGCCTTAAAGAGATGAAAATACATTTTCTTTATAAAACAAAGACGTTTCATGTCTCTACCTTCCTTATAGATTAAGTTAACAAGAAATTGCTATAATACACGTTTTGCTGAAGAACTGAAAAGCTCATTAAGGTTGAAATTTGAAGATCCAACAGTTTTCAAGCATTCAGATTTTGTATAGCTGTTGCTAGTGAAATCATTACTAGAAAATTATCCCTTAATATAGCATTTATAGCTTCCTGCCTTGCCAACATTGTGAAGAGTCTGTGGTTACCAAAAACAGCAATTTAAATAAAACTTGTAATACATCTCAGAAACTAAAATTAAACTTTACCAATTGTAGTGTACTCTTGAATAGTTAAAAAGCATCCAGCAACACTGGCTTGACAACAGACAAGTATTTCCAAGTTAGGTTACTATAGAGTATGAGGTATTTTGGTTATAAAAAAACGCATTAAGAAAGAGATTCTTGAATTTTTCATGTTAAGTTTTACCTAAGTACACAGCCTACTAGGTGACTGATTAAAGTCCTCACTAAAAATGAACTTCTTAGATATTGGAGTATTCCATTTTACCATTTGGAGGTCCATGATACATTTGAAATCTTTCTGTGGCGACCATTCTGGATTATGAATAACTTGTATTAGTTGATAACCCTACTCTGGATTATATGCTTATTCCAATGAAGATATTCAAATTACTCACCGAACGGCGTGGCCATAAGAGTACCAATTTTGAATCTTCCCCTTTATGCCTATCCTTCGCCTTCATTATCCATCCAGTAACTCATATAATATGAAAGGATCTAATCCTGTCTAGTGTGGGGCTCTTGTCTGTGACATTCTTCCCCACATATAAACCCCCTACCTACCTGTTCCATCCTACACGTGAGTCCCATTATTTACGTGGACATCATTATGTGGGCGCTTGGTGCAATATTGAGAGGAGTTGGGCCTACTTTGATACCACATATTAGGTGCCTTAGATCAAACTCATTCCATTCTGATGGGGGTTCCTCGTTCATCACAGATTGACGATTGTGTCCCTTCAGGGACATCCAATAAACTTGGAATGAGATAGAGTGACTAAGTTTTAATATTGTTGGTCTTTTTTTAAATACATATCCAGTTTTCGCATGCCCCCGCCCCCTTTTTGAAAACAAAAGAAAAAAGAAAAGAAGAAGAAAGAATTCCTTGTAGACCTGAAAAATCCTTGCTGCCTGTCCTTTCTTGGAGGCCTAAGTGAAAAGCTGTATGACCAGGCCAAAATATCATTTGAAGGTTCCACATTCTACAGCAATATTTCTTTGAGTTGACCAAGCCATCCTTCAATGGTGGTATAAAGAGGTTTACAATTCTATACTGGATATTCGTTGGCTGCTCTTGTAGCACTTTAAACACTAAATTTTGTCAACCATTGATAGAGTCAGTTTCCTCTCTCTTTTGCTTGTATCCGTATGTGTGATCTGATTTTCTTAGATTTGGTAAGTTCGTTTCTGAAAAAGAAAATAATTATGAATAAAATGAGTTAATGATATTAGCTTATGCTTAAGTCCCGGCTATACAAAGTAAGCTGCAAACCAGAAAATTCAAAAGCATAATTGTTGAAAGCAAAGAATCTGAAATTTGATGGAAATAAAAAGGGTGAATAGGCATGACAGAGCACAGCTTTTGCTTCTTTGTTTTTTAATTATTGAAAACTAAACTTTCATCAACTTGAGTTTGAATAGCAGAAAGTTGGAGTCTAATGGCTGGCATTGCATAAATTTAACTATGTTTTTGCTAGAATCATTGATGTCATGCAAAAGGATTGCTCCTACTGCTGATGGTCAAGCATGTTTTCTAAATTTTGATGGCTGGATAACTTAATCCTTTCTCTTCTGTGTTACCCGTCTCCTTAGTTTTTACATATGCATGAAAGACCTGCTACATCCGATAAGCTCTTATCCAGACATTGAATGCATCGCTCTCCGGAGCTTACCTTGTAAGTAGTACTTAACCATGTTTCCGACATCATTGCTTTCACAAGCAAGATGGCATTCACGCACTCTAGCTCTTTGATTGCCTCAGTGCATGAGTAGCCATAAGATAGTGTTCTGGTAGTCCTCCCCACTCTTTAGGATGGCAAGACATCAGGCTAAAAGTGTTGTTCTCCAATTTTAGTTAAATATTATCAGAATGTTACTTTGGAAGCTTTGAAAAGTGACTAACAATTGAGATTCAAGGGGCTCTTTCACGCTGGGGGTTTAGCTATGCTTCAAGCTATGTAGTACCAACTTATTATTATCCTTGTAGTACCAAGTGGTGCAGCTCTTAAATTGGAAAAGATGATGAATTTTTCCTGGGCTGGTTTAGAGGGTGGGCAAAAGGCCATCTAGTTAAATGGGAATTGGTGACTCAAAGCGCGGAAAGATGGGGCTTAAACATTGGCAATTTGTAAGTGCCTTTGGACATTTCCTTTAGTAGGGGAGTCATTGTGGCATGCTGTCATAAGAAGTAAACATGGGTTTGAAGAGAATGGGCGGGATGAAAATCCAGCTCAGAGGGGTTCTAGCTGGAGGCCTTGGAAAGACGTTTTGTCAAGGGTATGATTTGTTCCTACCAGGTTGTGGGTAATGGGGCTAGGGTGAGATTTTGGTATGACAGTTGGGTGGAAGAATTTTCCTTGAAATAAAAGTTCCCTGCTGTTTAACTTATCATATTATAATAAGAAAACAGTAGCAAGATTAGTAGAATTCTCATCTGATTCACTCAACTGCACTTTTGGTTTGAGTTTAAATGATTTCGAGAACGAGGACCTTTCTTCATTGCAGGCTATACTGAAGATTCAGGTTGGTGCTTGATAATTTGGATGCAAGGAAGGTGAAGGGAACCGTTCTTGTAAGTCGTACTTACTTGTGTAGTAATGCCACTACCTTTGATTTTCAGTTGTACAGTATGATCTGGAAAGCCAAGGCTACTCTGAAGGTCGATCATGGAAAAGTGAGCAACCATGGGCATGTATTTCTCCTCACTGGTGTATCAAAGAGGATGGGGAGAAGGTTTATCATGTGTTTCTGCACTACACAGTTGCATTAAGTCTGTTCCTTAAAGTTCAGGGAGGCTGAAGTGAGCTGGGCAATCCCAAAGGGGTGTCATGCCTTGTGTGAAAAGCATGTAGAGTTTGGTGGTAAGAAAAGGGCCAAAGAGAGAAATAGGAGACTTTTTGAAGACAATGGTGGGATGGAGGTGGAGGATCTTTGGTATTAACTCAGATTTTGGTTATTTCGAAGCTTTCGTGAAGCTTTCTTTTCTTTTCTCTGCAGCATTCATGAAGCTTTCTTTTTCTGTTATTGTACTTGGAATTTGATATGTTTCATTTCTGTCGTTAATATAATGTTTCCTTAGAAGAAAAAAAAATTAAAGGTTTACAGTGAGGCAGGAAATTGAAAAAAGAATAAGAAATTGAGCTGCTTTTTTTGGAGGTATAGAAAAATCCATTTCTGCTATTGAAGTACCTAGTCCTGCCAGTGTTGTATGGAGGATGAGTTATAGCTTCTTTTCTAATCAAAAGTTACTGTAACAAAAAGTTCTTGAATGTTGAGGTAGCATTCTTGGATGTCTAAATGTGTCGATGCCTTGGGAAAAATATAGAACTTTTAATTGTGCATGGACCTATATAGGCCCTTTAGTTATACCAAGAATTCATCTAGCTTTGAAAGTAAGCTATGGCAGATTCTATTTTCAATCTCTAAATAATTCTCTGATTTTGTGGTAATCCTTTTGTTGTAGACCAACTGTTTAAACAAATTTATTTAATTTATTTGCTCTGTAGATATTAAATTTGTCAATGATATTTTGTTGACAATTTTCTAAGCATAGATAGCCGTAGTATTCTTTTAAAGGTTCCAGAAAATTTGAAAATAGCCCTATCAACAAATTTTCTGGTCCTCTGATCAGATTATTTCCCTTTTCATTTCAATTGATATTTAAAATTTAAACTGTGGCTTTCTGGAGTGAATCAAAATGAATCACTCTTGCGATTTTTTCCACCCATGGCATTTTCATCCTGCTGATTCTTACATTGTGTTTCTGACTTCAGTTATAAAAGACCAGATTCTATGAACTTATCTTACATGGGTGCTTATCTTCTCAAGATGGAACCATGTAAAAGACCCTTGGTATCTGGAATCTTTTCTAGTATAACATTTTGCTGAAGCTGTCTGCAACGGTCTGCTGCTTTTTGATTTCACGCCCGTCCCTACCTCAGAAAAGCTTGCAGTGTGACATTTTGCGGTTTGGAGATTGAGTAAGTATGTTTCTGCTCACGGGCTGTACTGCACTTAAAAGTAACTGTAATACTAAAAATTGTATAAAAACAATATTAATTTTTTTTTTTTCTTCTCTTGCTTACCTGCAGTTTATTTCTAGTCCTGTAAGACCAAAAGGAACCTGCAGATGATATCATTTTTACAGGATGCAAGACCAAAGAAGCCCACATTCATGGTGTATATCGTGTACTTGCTAAGCGTGTCCGCGTCAGATACGTATTTGAGGATACAACTTTGCCCAGAAAAATGGTTGGCAAATTTTCAACAATGTCATGCATAACCTTGTTTGCCTCTAAAGCTATTCTTGGAATGTTAGAATTGCATAAGGAATCCCCTGAAGTCCAAATATTAGTTCTGGTTCATGCCATAGCCCTTCGGAGAAATGAACCATCCCAGTAGAAGAAGAAAAATAAACTAAAGCGGAAGGTGGGTTTAGAAACATAGCCTGTATTTTTTTATGTGTTTTGACGAAATGGAAATTAGGAAATCTGGGTTACTGTATTCTAGTGGTTTCGTGTAATGCTACATTGCCCAGATTGACTTGTAGCAGCAACCCCTCTTTTGTTCCCCTTTTACTTATCTGTTACATTTGATCAGGTCTATTGAGGATTGGAATGAAATATTTTTAGGATTGCATGGCATTGTTTCCTTATATTGTTAACAATTACATATGTCAGTGTAAGAATCTCCTATTATTAAGGGAATTATTTTATCCATGGTCATAAAGTAATGTCAATGTATTTTTTATCCACGGGAAATGCCGAATAGGGAAAATTCAAACTTGACCATCTTCTAATATTGGATGTAAACTCATGCCGAAAACGGATGTCGTCAACCAATCTGAGAATTTGGCAACAAGCAAATGAAAAAAGGAAAAACTAATTTGGAAGGGTCCTAAATCCCAAGTTGTAAATTCAGAACATCAAAACCATCATTGGGCCTCAAGTTGTCTCTTGCATTGCCCCCATGGCCTTGTTTGATAGTCTGCTATACTGCAGGGAGCTTCTACAATAATAAGGAGTTTAGAGTGAGGAGCTTATTTGATTTGGGGAGTTCAATTCCATCTTCAAATTATTTGAAATGTTTAAGTCCATTGATTTTCTCACATTTGTTACTGATGAAAGATTGAACCCCTCAAATAAGCTCATCACTCTAAACTCCTCATCATAGCTTTTCGGCTCTACTGCCCACTGCGAGCCCAATAAACCTATATGCATGGCCTTGAGATGACAAGAGCCCACTAAAGCCCGTATCTCCCTTTGATATTTCGACAAGCATCCTTTGACCATCGCCGTTATCTCACTCGCTGCCATCGCTTGCTTGCTTGCTCTGCGAAGCAAATCCAAAAAGTTGAGGTAAACCTTGTAGTTTTCTCGGCTTCAAGCCACTCACTTGTGAAAATAAAGCTAAAAGATTTTCCCAGGGGCCAAACGTATCATTCAATGTTTCATTTTTGTGTTCTATTTTTTGAGATTTTCTATTATAATTGTGCAGATGAATTTGGCTATCAACCATTGCGGCAGCTATGGAATTAATTCTTTCACAATTTCAAGCTGCAAGGGTGGCCGGAAAAGTAGTCACGGTGAGTAAATTGTGGTTCTTTCGTTTTTTTTTTTTTATATATATAAATATTTATGTTGGCCTGAAGATTAAACTCTCTTATGATTCATCAGAGTGGTATATATGTGGGTGTTACTAATATATAATATTGTAACACAATTGTTTCTCAAATTTCTATCTTCAAGGTAAATATATGGTACCCATCAGAATGCTAAGGGGACCTTCTACTTCTACACCTCAGGATCTTAGCCAAGATTTGGCATCATTGGCCAAGAGTGATACAAGCAGCAGCTTCCCATTTAAGACAGTCGTAAATTCCATGGCAGGTAACAGGCTAACAGCCTTTGTCTTGTGCTTAAAAACCTGTACGTTCTGTTTTCACTGCCTCTTTCTTTCTTTATTTTCCCCAAAGAAGTAAACTTTCATATCTCTATTCTACAATGAATGGGTGTAACTTCAAAGATTGAGACATATAAGGGGAACTTTTCCGATTCCTTTGTATTGTGGATGTATATAGTTTTGAAAAATGTAAGGAAATCTTCCATGTATAGTTGTGGTTCTGGCAATTGAACATACCGTTTAAATATGATTGACTTGCATATTTAGATAATATACATGTACGTAGTTGCATTAACAGCTCTCAGTTTCTCTCTGTAACTTGTGATTCTCAGTTTATTTAGGGTGATTACATGAACTCTATAAACTTGCTTGTAACTATGATAATCTTTTATTCTTTTATGTTTCAGTGGCAAATTTGGTCTTCGCAGACATGGCGAAGGCTGTAAGCACGGGAAAATTTTTGGTGAGAATTTGTTTTGTGTTTAAGTACTGATGGCTTCTTACCTTTTCAGTAATTAATTTTTTTTTCAAAATTCAATTCCATTATGCTATTTAGTTCTTATAGTTTTTGTAGTACTGCTGCTTGATGATAATGCTTTAGATTTAGGGTCCAAAAATTAACTATTTGTGCGTATGGGTCAAGCTACTTTTAAAATCTGTATCCAAATTATACTTCTCATATACAATCTCAGGAACTAGAATTCTTTTCCGAGTCAGGAAGGTGCTGTTTCATTTTATACCTTGGCTGATGGTGGCCCTGGAGAATGGTTTGGAGGTTTCCTATTTTCTGCTGGACAAGAAGCTAATGAGGCAGTTCAAGACCAGTTATCTGCCCTCAGTTTCTCTAGGTTCAGTCCTGTATTCTTGTCTTCATTCACATTTGTATTTTTTATTATTCAGCATCTTGGAATATACGCTGCTTCTCATTGCTTATTCGTCTTAACAGTTTGGCAGTTATTTTTGGGGCTGGGCTTGTGACCAGCCTTTCTCCTTGTACTCTTAGCGTTCTGCCACTGACACTAGGTTACATAGGTAAAAATTTATATCTTTTATCTTGTGGCTTTGGGGAGAAATGGGCGAAGGGAGTTGTATTTGGGTGATGACTTTCACTCTTTTGTATACATCATGTGTAATGCTGATTTGAATTGATTAAAATCATACAGGAGCATTTGGCTCAGGGAAAAGCAAGGCAGAGGTGATAACTTGCTAAACCAGTTCTCTTATTTCCATTGTTCGTCTTTTTTCTGTAAAGTCCTAGGTGTTGTTTATGTGTCCCTGGAATATGTCGTACTCTTCCCGTCCACAAATGACTTTCTTGAATTAGTTCCTCTATCTTTCTTGCCTTGTAGCAGCAAGAAGTACACGTGAATCGATTTCTGTAATTCAATATACCTTCCCTTCGAGATTTCCTTGTATTTTTTTTCATTATGTGCAACTTTTGATTGCTTTTGTAAGCTACTTGTGTAGTTATATGATCGGTTCTCTCTCTCTCTCTCTCTCTCTCTCTCTCTCTCTCTCTCTCTCTCAATGACACATGCATGAGGTTAATGTGCCTTTTTTGGTCAGGTTGTTGGGAATTCAATTGCCTTCTCATTAGGATTGGCAACTACACTTGCACTCTTAGGCATAGGAGCCTCATTTGCTGGAAAGGCATATGGACAGACAGGGCAGGGGTTACCTTTGGCTGCTTCAGGTTTAGCTATTGTTATGGGCTTGAATCTCCTTGAGGTATATATTTATGTTCTAACGTCATTTTCTCCCCAGCGTGTGCTTCTTTTATTTGATAGTATCTATCACCAGTCAATGTTTATCATTTCCATTTTGTATCTGTGAGATATGCCTCCGAAGTCTGATTGTTTAATTTAACCTTTTAGAAGACTTTGATTGACTAGTTCTTTCTGATTTAATGTTATTCCTCATTTTTATGCTATCATCTTATGGGTTGAAATTGTAGGTAATTGAACTACAGCTCCCCTCATTTTTTAACAATTTTGATCCCCGGGCTGCTGCTGCTAATTTCCCATCAAGTAACTACCCACCCTAATTTTTTGAGTTTTTGTGGTTTAGATAAAAGCTGGTTGTCTGAATGATCTTATGAGTTTCAACTTTGATAAACTTTCACATGCTAGGTGTGCAAGCATATCTTGCTGGGCTTACATTTGCTTTAGCTGCCTCACCATGCAGTACGCCAGTGTTGGCCACTCTGCTAGGATATGTTGCTACATCGAAGGTAAACTCAAATTTTTGATATTCTTGAATTCATTTTGAGCTTTTAGTTTTCTTCAGAGATCTGACAGAAAAAGCTGTAGTTTGACATTTGTGGATGTTGTAATGGCTCTCTCTCTCTCTCTCTCTCTCTCTCTCTCTCTTCCCTTTATTTCTTGCTTATTGATCTCAGTTAATCATCTCCAGTATTTCATATATAGAAATTTTTTTGAATCATCCATGTTGTATCATAACATGCAAGCATTCAAAACAGTAGAGGAAAAAAAAAAGAGCAGAGAATTTACTCAAACTGCATGTGTATGGATGCTGTGGGAGTCATTTATCAAAGTTGATGCTCTGAGTGTTCTTTCCAGCTCAAGTTTTCCCTTTCCCTAATTAGTTTACATAGGCATCGAATAATGTTTAATGCAAGAGAACAAATTTTATTCAGAATCCAGTTATAGGAGGCAGCTTACTTTTGACATACACAACTGGTTATGTTGCTCCTCTACTTCTTGCTGCTTCTTTTGCTGGAGCATTGCAGGTATGTAATCTATCACTTTTTAGTTAGTTGTAAGTTATTCTGTTAGAACAGAACAGCAAGTGAAAGCTTCCACCATATTTCTTTGTTATTGTGTGGTTCTCTGCTTGCCTGTGACTGGCCTCATATTAAACGATTTCAAGACTTTAACAGTGCTGGCAACTTTAAATCATACTTGTGCACTCGTGTCTGTGGATGCGATTGTTTCGAAGTCTTGATTAATTAGAGGAATAATACTGGTCTTACCACATTTCTATACCACAATTTTATACCACATGATATGACGGCTGATATGTACATACCACATCAACTAATTGATGTGATTATTAACACCTTTTTATTTATTTATTAAAATATACCTCATTGATTTAATTGATGTGGCATATGATATGGATAATGGACATGCCACATCACGTGGTATAGAAATGTGGGATAAAAATGTGGTAAGTGTAGCATTACCCTAATTAGAGTGAACTCTGCTTTAAAGTTTTTCTTTTTCTTTTTGCTGAGCAAAACCCATATATATACGCAGAGCCTACTTTCATTTCGCAAATTTTCGGCGTGGATCAACCCGATCAGGTTATTCTTAAATCCCTTTCTTTCTCCTTTTCAAATCTTTGAAACTTCTTAGTACATGTAAGTTACCCACATGACAGGTTCCTACACGGCTTTCAATAACATGTTTCATTTTGTTGTTTTTACAGTGGTGCACTTCTGTTAGGAGGGGGTGTTTATACTTTCTTGGATAGGCTTTTCCCAGTTACAATGGCAATGTAGGCATTTGCTTAATGACATAAAATCGAACCACGTCGAGACAGTACTGTGATATACTTATCTCAATTGCTTTTACTCACAGTTTCACATGTACAGAATGTAATAGATCTAAATTAATATCATAGTATGTATTTAATGTGTTCTCTATATAACGCAATGCTTTCTCAAATTGTATTAGTTATGTGTTAAATCTGAAAAACTAAAGTACAAAAGTTGTCGAGGGTGAATATGTGAAAGGACATGAATCCTTGTAAAGCATTCTGATTAGTTAGGAGCAAAATTTTTTACTTCCACTCAAGTTGAGAGGTCAATAGAAACGTTGTTCATCCTCTTGTGCCCTAAATATTTTGGTTCTGAAAAATTAGGCACATCTGTAAAAAGTAAAATGGTTTACCTAATTATAAGAAAGGCCATCAACGAGTGATTCATCCTTGACCCAATTATGTTAACCAACATTAAGGAAAGTATTATAGTTGCCTGTGTTTTCAGTTTTGAGGATTAATATGGTGATGTTTGTGTAAATAAAGAACCATTTTGCTATTGATTTCGTTTTATAACCCTACATTTTCGTTTTGAGTTCGAATTAGTCCGTCCTATGCAGAAAAAGAAGAGGTAATTAATTGACCCAACATAAAAAAAAAAAAAAAAAAAAGACTTCGAAATCTTGAAGCAAAAATCGACAAGGAGAACATAAGGTTACGAAGCCCTAACTCTCAGTTTGGTAAGGACTTGGAAATGACATCATTTAACAGAAACGAAGTGTCTTCTAAGATAATGGCAATAAGAGGTATACACATGGACGATTTCTGTACAATACGAGTATTAAATATGACAATGCTAAATTCTTTATACGAGTCAAAAGTCAAAAATAGACAATAGATACTCAGGTAATGACCTAATAGTAATGGATAATGCTCTAAACTACTCTTATCGATAAACAAAAATCGGGGCAAAACAATTTTAAAATAAAGATCACAGTATCAATGTAAAGCTTATAGCCGGGCGGCTATACTATTTATTTTATAAATAAATAAATAAAAAGACTCTAGTAAAGCTGAGCGGTATACACTTTTTTCATTAAAAGAATCCCGAGAATAGCCATACTATTTACTAAAAAAAACAAAAAAGAGGACTCACCTAGCGCCAAACTAGCGATTCGGTGCCCACTTATCAAAAAACGTAGCTATACTATTTGAAAGGAGTATCGTCGCGGCTATACTATTTATTAAAAAGGACCCTTCTAGTTACATTAGTTTATATATTAATTTGCTAGTTTCGATATATATAATTTATAGATTTAAATTTTTTAATATATATATTATTCAATAAGATACAAAAATTATGCATATAATACGTGAATTTTTTTGTGTATTATTGAAAATTTTGTAAAAAAATCAAGTGCATTAAACATTAAAAAAAAATACATATGTGCATGTACAATATGAGTATTAAATATGAAAATGTTAAATTCTTTATATGTGTAATAACTCTGGAAAAGTAAAAAATAAAAAAGGTACAATAGATACTCGAGTAATGGTCTAATAGTAATGGATAATGCTCTAAACTGTAGATAAAGAAAAATCGGAGAAAAACAATTTTTAAAAACAAATATCACACCATTTATGTGAAGCATATAGCCGCTCGGCAAGCTCTTTTAGAGTACAGCCGCGCGGCTGTACTATGTATAAATAAATAAAAATAAAAACCGGAGGACCCGCCTAGCTCCCAACTTGCGATTCGGTGCCCACGTGCAAAAAATGTATAGCCTGTCGGCTATACTAGTTTTTTATAATAAAAAATTAAAGTATAGTCATGTTGCTATACTTTTTAATATACAAATATATATATAATTTAAATTTAAAAAAAGGCTGCCGTACAGCCGGTCGGCTATACTCTTTTTTTCAAAAATCTAGAGTATATCCGGGCGGCTTAAAAAATAAAAAAAAAAAAAGTTCCCAGAGCACGGCCATACGATTTAAACAAAATCTATAGTATAGCCGCGCGGCTGTACAATCTATAATTTGGGAAAAAAAGGACCAGCCTAGCGCCAAACTTGCGACTCCGTGCCCGCGTATAAAAAAGATATAGCCGCGCGGCTATATTATTATTTAATAAGAAACTGTAGTATAGCCGCCCGGCGATATTATTTTTAATAAGAAACTGTAGTATAGCCGGGCGGCTATACTATTTATTAGAAAATAAATATAAAAAAAAGGACCCTCCTAATTGCATTAGTCTATACTTTATATACATTAATTTGCTAATTTCGATATATATACTTTATAGATTTAAATTTTTTTAATATATATTATTATTATTCAATAATATGCCAAAATTTTGTGTATAATACCTGAATTTTGTGTATTATTAAATTTTTTGTAAAGAACCAAGTATATTAAACATGAAAAATACATATATACGTGTATGCGAAACACATAGTACATCAACGGTCAGATTCAATGTGCATGAGCTACGATACCAAATTTCTAACAATAAAGTATAATGCAAGCCCATCGGATCGGTAGATATTGGCTTTAGGGCTATTGGCACTATATGAGATACTGCCAGAGCCAAATAAATAAGGAGATGTCTTTAGCTCCATGAATCAATCGTTTAGAGCTGCAGGGTGATGTGATCTTATAGTTGGAGTCTGGACTGATCTCTTGCAAGTATGACAAGGGGCTCAGGTAGACGACAGGCCTTGCGGTCTTAAAATGGATGATTTTCTAGGCAGCCAAATTTCCAACTTTTTTTTTTGTTTTTGTTTTTCAAGTGGTGAACACTTCAGAAAAGATATAGCCACAACAAGTACTTGAAGGTGTGCTTACTTTTTTCTTGAGTGCTTATCCAGAAGCAGAAAAACGAAAACATTTTTCCAAGGCTTTTGGCCACATCTGCAGGGCCAAACTTCGGCTGGAATTTATTGTGGTTAGCCAGGTTTTGGCCACTTCACCGCCTTTGCAAATTATATATGATATTAACATGATCCTAAAGCTTTCCTGCACATCTCCTCTGTGCCTTACATTATGAAATTGCTTGGCCGGTTGGTGAAAGGATTAGATAAGTGTAAAGAAATGGTTTTAGTTTAACTAAACAAACTGAGGTGAGGAATTTATAGCTTTGATGTGGCTATACTGAAAAACCAGTTGACACACTTTCTTACATCAATGAATGTCTCAAACACGTAAACACCACATATTAAATAAAGTGGGAGCTCTTAGAACAAACACGTGATGTGAATCGCTCTAATTCGATAAATATTAAATAAAGTGGGAGCTCTTAGAACAAACACGTGATGTGAATCGCTCTAATTCGAACTGATTATCGAAACAAATCTCAGTATAGGGAGTCAACTTTTTGATCTGATATTGGTAATTCCGCAATGAACATAAATTAGCTCACTATAAACATCATTTGTGACCCAACAAAAATTGGGTGCACTATCCCTGTATTTTTCACCACTCTTTCATAGGTTTTTTTTTACCCACCAAACATATGGCAATTGCCTATTGCCCGCCGAATCCTCTGTTTGCTTTTGTTTAAAATTATAAACAAAAACAGAAAAAAGAAAAAAAGAGATAAATAACTGAAACTGAAACTAATGAGCCAATGGAGCCCGGGCCCCACTTCTAATCATCTCCTGGTACTGATTCAACGACTCCTGCCGCTGCAGCCTCATCTCCTCGTTGAACTTCTTGATGAACGCCTCCACTCGGCGGTTCAAATCGTCCTGACTCAGCGACGGTTCCTTCCTGAGCCGAGCCGAGCCGGTCGACGGACTCAGCAGCGACGGCGAGTTAACGGTTGCGCTGCTCTGGTCCGGGAACGTCTCGGACTTGTTCATCTTGGACTTGGGAGGCGTGTTCTGGTCCATACTCCGCACGTGCGTGTCCCACGTGTCGGACTTCTTCAGGTGCCTCGTTAACGGCATCGAACGCCCCTCCGTTATCGTCTTCCACGTGCTCTCAAGCGTGTCCTGCCGCTTCGGCTTCGCCACTCCCAACGATTTCCCTCCTGCATTTCCCACAAAACGAAACAAAAAAATTCACTTATTAATTTACCATTTTGACCTCATCTTTTAAAATTGCTCTCCTGCCCCTCCAATAAGCCGAGGTCAATCTCGACTTTTCGCACTATCAAGCAAATTTGAATTTAAACGATAATAACGAAAATTTAAAAATAAAAAATACAGGTGGTGCTCCGACCAGTCGGTTTCTCAGTTCCTTGTTCCTATCCGAAAAATTCAAAAAATTTTGGACCTAATAGAACGATTCGAAGGAATAATCATACGACATGTCGTACGCAGAGAGAAGGGTACCTTCAGGGCTAGCTCTGGCGGATTTTCTATGACCAAATCTAGAAGAAACGGGGGGTTTCTCGTTCTCGTTCAACCAAAACTCCATAGAGTCTTTCCTCTGCAAACGCGTCCGTACAGGCGTCGATACCCGTACGGCCTCATCGCCGCCGTCCACCGCCGCTCGATCATCGCTCTTCTCCTTCTTCTCATTCTCCGCCGCCTCCGAAATCCTGGCTTCCACTACCACTCCACCGGCCGATTCGTATGAATCTGGAACCTTCGGCAACACATTCGCATCGTAACCGTACTCGTTCAAAATGACGGCGTCGTACGCCGCGTAGTCGGTCCTCACGACTTCTCCGGAGATCTTCACCGGAGTCACTGGCACGGGGACAGTGATCATCTCCGGCGACGAATCTTCGGGTCTCGGATGGAGCTTGGAGGAGGCGACGATTGTGATGATGATGCAGTTGATGAGGATGTAGAGGTAAGGAGGTCTGAGCCAGGAGAGTGCTGAGCTCCAGAGAGAAGGGACTTGGGAAGCGACGATGTCCGAAACCACTGGAGCTGAGAGCTTTAGCGCCACGGCCATGGACACCAAACCGGTGGAGATGAGAACGACCTTGAGAGAGAGTAACCAGGTGTTGCTCGAGCTCATCGACATTTTTCTGGCGTTTGAGTTTGGGGCTTGGTCGGAATATTACCTTTTCCGGCGAGAGTTTTATTTGAGAGCTGTGAGAAATGAAGAAGTTAGTGAATGGTGAAATGGTGAGGAGGGAGATTATATATAGGGGAGAAGAAGGAGCGGGTTTTGAGATGAAATGCGAGCCGTCGGATAAAGAGGTAGTGTGACCGTTTTAGAAGAAGAAAAAATGGTGGGGATAAGAGGTAATGCGTCAGCATGTAATGGGTTTTCTCCACGTGGCATGGGGGGTTTTTGGCGTATGGAATAGGGGATATCATTGAAATGTTTTTGCAGAAATTCATTGGATTCTAGAATCCGTACAAATAAATAATTTTTTATTATATATAATTAAGTTAAATTAAAGGAAATCATGAATACAAGTTATTTAAAGTATTCAACATAATATTATTCGAGTTATTTCGAATTGCAAGGGAAAAACTTACATGTCACGAGTTCAATATCCGCTTCTTATCTTATACACCGACATAAAAAGATAAAAAAAATTTCGGTTTAGATTAGAGGTTGAGAACTGAAATTCTAGTCTTAAATATTACTTCCTTTTAATATAAATACTTGTTATGATGGTAGCTGAGCTGAGGAAAAACCATCATTGTAACAATCTTCAAGTTGTTGTGTCATTTTAGTAATCTCACATTAACCTATTTTATCAATTTGTGTATAAAATTCGAGAAAATGTTTTATTCCAGCTTAATTAATTGAGTGGGCACTTGGATTGACCCTTAGAAAATATATATATATATATATAAAATAAATAAATAAATAAAAAGAAGTGGGCAGTGGGCAGTGGGCAGTGGGCAGTGTGCAGTAGATTTGAGCTGTCATTTCTTGGATTAAGAGCACATTTACCTATTTTATCAATTTTGTTAATAAAATCCGAAAAATTGTTTATTCCAACTTAATTAATTGAGGGGGCACTTGGATTGACCCTTAGAAAATATATATATATATATATAAAATAAATAAATAAATAAAAAGAAGTGGGCAGTGGGCAGTGGGCAGTGGGCAGTGTGCAGTAGATTTGAGCTGTCATTTCTTGGATTAAGAGCCCCCCCTTTCCCTAACAAAAACACATCGAAGTGGCAATGCCCATAAATAAATATCCAGTCTCTTATCTACTCTCTCTCTATCTCTCTCTCTCCAGATGATTCTGGAGGTGGGGCTTTGCTCTGATTAAATTATTTAAAAAGGAAAAAAAAAACGCAAAAGTAAATCGGAAATGTGATTAATTTTTTAATCTTGCTTAACATTGATAATCTTCCTAGAGAACTTTTCATGTGGTTGTTTAATATTTAATATGGGAGGGGAAGGCAGCAGATGATAGATGAGAACTGTCAGGAAGAATTGAATATTTAAAAGGGTACCACATCTCAACGGCTATATTTTATGTGACCGTTACCTACGGCCTGTGTCTTGTCCTTGAGAGGAGGATCCTAAATCCCCGGTCCATGGGGTATGCTATGCTATGAATATGAATGAATTGGACTATGAAGTCATATTAAACATTGCCCATTGGATTGGATGGTCTAGCCCTACCAATACTTAATTAACCGACCACGTTTTGGAGCTACTTAAAGTGTCTTAATACTAATTAAGTGTTGCTCACTTGCCCAGTGACATTGTGGTAATAAAGGGAATGTCAAATGTGGTAGCATAGCATCTAATGTGAGAGCTCATTGTCTTTTTTTCTTCTAATGTAATATTGTTACATGATGTTATTCTTATTCATAGAGTATAATATGAGCGATAATTTTAATAGATATACACGTGTTATAACATGAATATATCAATAACACAAAACGACAGTCTTACAATCACACTAAAAAATTACTCTCAAAATAAAGTCACATATTGAGTGTACGTACATCGCGAAAGCGCCAACTCCAAAATTACTCTAATGTTCTACATAGAGAGATGTATGAACGTGAAGAACAATATTCAGAGTCAAAGACCGAGTAATAACGATGAACATGTGATATGGGCTACCAAAGCCAAAAAAATGAAAAGGAAATAGTAATAAATAAATATGTGGGTTGGCCATGCCATGTTCTTGAATCTTGTCGGTAAACCCAGATGCCCTAAGTTGGTTAAAATTTATAATAAATTTCATGTGTTCTGCCGACCAACCAATAAGCACCACCGATTAAGTCATCTTCTTCTTCATTTTTGTTTTCGCATTTGCTAAGTATAAAAGTCAGAGAGCAAATCATTAGCTGGTTAATTTTCTACGCAATGTGTGGACGAAATGAGTCTAAAATATGACTGATGCGTGTGTGTGTGTGCGTGGGTGGTCAATATAAGCAGGTATATGCGTGCAGCGTGCTACTAATTTCCTACCAGAAGCGGGCAAAGACTGCGGCTTGAAATTTCCCCTTAATGAGACAATTGATCAAGTTGTTTTCAAGTTGACATGCCTACAAAGGCAACGTGAAATATGCATCCAAGAAATGCCAAGCAAAGTCAATGAAATGGTCAGGATCAGAGAGATTGATGTCCAAAGTCTTTAAATGTGTTTGTTTTGCAAACAAACTTCATTGAAAATGTGAACCAGGAGGACATTAACAAATATAAGACGGAGTAGACTAGTTATAGGAGATCCAAAATGATTGCGAATGCATACATACGTGTTTAGGATAAATTTTGGCAAGTTATGCTATTAGATTGTCAATCAAACTAATATGACTTAAATATACGATTTTATTTAATCAAATGGTGTTGATGGATAGTCCGTCAACATTATATAGGTGAAACTATGCGACAAGAGAGCACTATCAATCCCATATAAATCTAATTGTTAACTACAGACTTTTAACTAGGGTGAGAAAATAAGCTTATAGAGTTGTTTATGTACGACCAGCTTGATATATGCTTGTAGCTAGACAATACCTTAAATCATGAAGATGAGATTATTAGGACAGGAGAGAATGGAAGAGTTGTGGTCCCGTGGGTGGTCTCGTGACATCTAATTTTTACTTTGTTGAATGAGATCTTTAATTCAAAAATCATAACCGATAGAGACTCGTGCATCTGAATTAAGAAGATTTAAACCGATCAAGTTAAAGTTACATGAAGCCTATATAAGTTCCATAAATTTTTTTTTAAAATTTATAAAATTCCCTTGACTCATTTTTGGTGCCATTGATGGTCCTGCATTCAGAGAGGTGCTTTTTATAAAATGTCCCATTCCTCTGATTAAGCCCCACAGAAGCAGAAACAAAATTCGCACAGCAGGGTCCAGGAGCTTACATCACCATTTCCACAACAAAAAAATATAAAGAAAAAATTAGAATTATTAAGATCATCATTAAGACCACAAGCCAGTATGGCGACCATCTATGCATATCATTCAGCTCATCCTCTTCAGTGGGCAACTTAGAGCCCCTGCTTGCAGCCAACACGCGGTTCTTTCCTATTGGTCGGTGATGACCTAATATACTAAGACAAGTTGGTATAAGTGAGTCAAAGATAAAGATTTTGGAGGCTTTGGAGCAGCTGTAGCTTATGGCCTTGTGCTACATTCTGATTCATATATATTCTCATGCCACCGTCCAGTTGTTAGATGAGTGACAAGTGTTGGCCATCCACCGACCGGCACAGCATTTCTGGTGGGTTATCCGGCTACTGCAAGGCTGCAACCATTGCATTGGGGTCTTCAATTTGGTATTTTTTTCCAAGTCCAAAGGTTTTGCCTAATTTTGGTGTGGAAATTTCAAGAAGTATACCACTTGGCCTTATGATCAGATCATAAAAAGCACACTAAAGCTGTGCTGATTGATTGGCAGGAAACAAGACATGTTGGCAAGTGTTATGATTTTTCTTGCTCCTTTTTAGCAAGGCTAGTGTGTGTTGATTAGACACTGTAGAAGAGAAGCCTGTACAAGTTACCCTAAGAACTAATGAAAGTGACTTCGTACCAAGAATTGATGATGAGACAAAGTGGCTCTTTTTCATACTAAAATGACAGGATAAAGACTTAACATAAAGAATGGAAATGCAAATCTTTTATAGTAAAATCACAAGAGAGAGACTCAAATTGCAATGAGTCATGTTTATAGAGATGAGTTATGCCGGGAAACAGCTGTTCGTTAGTGCATGGGTGACTATTAATTGTCGATAAGTATGATGACTCCCTCATGAGATCCACATAAATCAGCGCATGAGTGATTATTAACCGTTGATAAGTATGACTCCCTCATAATATCCACATAAATCTACCATTAACAGTCATTCGTGAATACCCAGACTGTACTGCGCATTATTGAGATGGAGACATCTTTCTCTACTGATAGTTTGGTTAACCTTGACTAGGAATTTAAATTGTGGTGTGAGATATTTGGCTCTCCTCTATCTGTGTTACATTTCCTATCTGAAGATCTTGCTGATATGGCATTGTTATTGGACCATTAGATAAATGATAATTGAAAATTAAAAAGAAAAGAAGAAACCAAAGGACTTGTGATAATTCTGACATTCCAAAGATCATGCATATACAGGTATTGTTCTTGAGGTGTTTTTAGGTTCTTCCAAATAACACAATTGAAGCGGAAAGAAATCATTCTGATCAATCTAAACCCATCTTATTACTCAAATAGCACCTAATCATACAAATGAAGTAATCACCCAGAGAAAAGCTAAAAAGTGGTACTGCCTCTACAAATAGTTTACAACCTCAGTAAAGGTGGAAATGAGGACGGAAAAAGAGGTAATTTTTTTCTGTAATTCAACTGTTTTTGTATGGTATAACAAGGCCGGGATTATCAACCCCCAAGGCTCCTCACTGTTTTGCAAACATCCCTTGTGTTAAAGAAGAGAAATCATAATCTTTTGCCGATTGTGCAGAAGTCGCAGATGATACGGGAGACGGAGATTGAGTCTTATTCGCTCCATCGTTTTTCGCGCCATTAACTGGGTTAACTTGGGCCATATTATAAAAGCTGCGAAAGAGAAGCAGTAGCATGATGATGTAAGCACAGATCAACAATTGGTTATCAACCCATTCCTATTCAAAGAAAATAACAATGATAAAAGTTTTAATCCTTGACGTTCATGGTATAGAATCCAAATAGAAACTCTGAAAACCTTCTCTGGAACCAGGTAAGAGATGAATTATTTT